TTCTAACAGTATAATCTAAAAGTAAATTCTAAAAGTAAATCTAAAAAGTATTTACAGTAAGAAGTAAGAATTATAATGGGGTCAGAAAAAAGGAGATGCACTCTTCTGGACCGTAATGATGCTGTTTAAACAGGAATATTCAGACTGTCACAGCGAAAAGCAATCTCTTTTCGTGTGCTCGTTGACTCAGTGGATATTTATCGAACCCCTGCTATGGGTCAGGCATTGATCTGGACACTTTGGATATATTAAGTGAAAAATGTCCTGCCCTCACAGAGCTTATAGTGTATGGGGGAGACAGACCAGGAACTAATTTAATGAATATGTAAATTATATGTAGAAGTAGTGTGTGCCCCAGAAAAAATTAAAGCTGGGGAGGGGTATGAGGAGGGACATGGGGTGGGAGGCAGTTGTGGCTTTAAGTTCATGTAGGCCTCATTGAGAAGGAGATGCTGGAGCTAAGACAGGAGGGAAGATGGAACTGCCGGGGGAAGGCCCAGAGCAGAAGCTTACCTGGGGAAGGTGGGGGACCAGAGCAGGTAGGGTCTCCTGGGTCAGAGTGAGCACTTCGGGTGTACTCCGTGAGACAGGGAGTCCCTGGAGGGCTTTGAGCAGAGGAGGAATGCAATCTGTTCTGTGTCTTGGAAGGAACCCACATCTGATGACTGAATGAAGGGGGTGAGGGTAGAAGCAGGGAGACATAGGAGATGGTGGGGGCCTGGATAGTGGGCTAGCCATGGTGGCATTCCAGACCTGTTTTGAAGGTAGAACCAACAGGATTTGATGACAGATTGGATTTGGAGTGTGAGTAGGAGGCGGGGCAGTGGTCAAGGATGATTCTGAAGCGTTTGCCCCCAGCCAGTGGAGGTGGTCTCTGCCAGTCGCTGAGAGTCAGGCACACTGCAGTTTGCTTTATATTCATACAACTTTTTTCCTTGTGTTTCTCTTTGTGTTTTTTTTTTTTTCGTGGACAAAGAAGCACATGCTTTTCCCTGTACCTAATAAGATCAGCCAGTTTCTTTCTTTTTTAATTTAATTTATTTTTATTGAAACTACATTAATGTTCATCTTTCAGACTCATTGGTAGTGACTCCCAGGTTCTAAACCTCCAGTTTAAAATTCTCATTGAACTTCAGCCCTTCATCCCTGTCTGCTGTATTTACTCTGATGGCTACGGTGTCTCCATCAGAACACCCTGGGCTAAAAGAAAACCCAAATCCCCGCTCCAACAGTTCTCACAGTATTGCTGTCCCACCAGGCAGTCAGGCCTCCCTGGGAAGTCTCACTCCCTCAACTTCTTCACTTAATTACCCAAATCCTCTTTTCTATAGACCTAAATTGCAGAATTTCTAGCACAGAATTTAGGACTTACTTATAAACAGTTTTACATATTTTAAGCATTTTTTCACATGCGTCCTACTTGGTTCATCGGTTAGATTATATAATTTGATAACTTGGAAACCAAATTTATTCCGTATTTCCCCCAGCATTTAACACAGAAGCAACTAATGGTGCTCAGTGAATTCTTTCCTGTGATTTGGCCAGCTTCACATGCGTCTTTTTCAGATGTTGGTTTCTACTTATACAAAGAAGAGTTTTGGAGGATTTTAACATATTGTTAAACATTTCTTTTAATTGAAGTATAGCTGACCAGCCAGCTTCTCAATTGACGACATGCATGCACTGCCTTCTAGAATACACTTTTTTTTTTTT